TCTCTGGGGAAAAAACCTTTATTTTTTAAGCTTCACAATCAAGATTATTTGAACTGCATTTAAGAAATAAAAAAAAATTTAAAAAGGTGTATTTAGAAACATAATATCTGAAAGGCAAACTGGGCTATACATACAACATTGCTCATAATAACACCATAATTCTTGTGATGCAAAAATATTTTGATATATTTTTTCCAACATCCACACTTGTACACTAAGAACAGCAGACAACCTCATTACATAAAGACATCACTTTTGCCCAACTATCCAACCAACTTCCCACACATTTTATTTCCATTATGCAAGTTTAAGTAACAAGGAAAATTTTATGACTTGTACATAGAACACATAAGAGTTCAGTGGATGACATCTCAAAGGAGAAAATACATGAAAAACTTTAAGCAACAAAAAATAATGTTTCCACATCTAATCACCATTCACTTGTTGATTTCATAACATGTTACACACATTGCAAAAATCACATCTTCTAAAGGTATTCATAGCAAGTGTGAGGGAGAGTTTTTCCAGAGCATTTGAGGGAATTAAAAAATAATTTATATAGTTTAACTAACACATTTTTCAGGTATGACAAATAGTGGTCAGTCATGTTTTCAGATGTAGTAAACACATACATAGTCAAGTGGCTGATCATGAATCATCTTATCTTCAAATATCACTAAAACAATGGCATTTAACATAGCTAAATACACATGTGTCTTCAGAAGTGATCGACCAAAACAGATACGCAGTTGCACCTATGTGAGAGGTATGAGGTGCATCGGCCAGGACATATTAGTCCACTGTGCTGGCTGGCCTGTGGGTGTATCTGAGGACTTGAGGGCAAAACTCCAAGTATTGGGAGACACTGAGGCCGCATGAGGGAGTCGCAGTTCTACCGGTCGTGCAAACTGCAGCCCATGGGGACCACACATCACCAGAGGACTAAGAAGGGTTTCACCTGTAATGCCATCATAATCAAGTATTAACTTATAATATTCATTTTTCAGTAATTTTATCACTCATAAATGGAGTTACCCATTTGATAATTTGCTAGAATTTTCACATACTGTCTAAATAGTATATGACTAACTAACATGGTTCAAGGAATAACAGGGTTAATTATCTACAGTCAAAAATTATTAAAAGAAAGTTTGAAAATGTTAATGGATTAAGGTCATTCTGATGCTCTATTCAGCCAGCATAGCTTTTACTCTTCTTTTTTTTCTCACAGTATGGAAATAAAATGCAATAAGTGAAAAAGCAGGAATTACATATTCAGTAATCTCCCAATTAGTAGTAGCTTACTTGGTATGATTTCACTTAGCTACTACAGTAGGTATATATTACAGAAGTTTTGCTTGGTGGGAATCTGTCCCACACTCTGTGATCACTTGTAGCAGCTGTTTGTCACAACTTAGTGAAACAAAATATTTCTTGATACTTTTTTCTTTTTTACCAAAGCCTGATCTGTTACACATGTTCCAAACAGCCATATTAAAAAATCAACAAATGTGTGTACATGAGGGAGATGCTGCAGTAGCTCAAGGCCCTTTCACTTTTGCCACATGCTTCATCAGGAGCTTTGCAATATAAGGAAATGCATAAATGAAATGGAAAATCTGGAGGTTAAGTCAGTGAGTGGTAATTCCTGACTTTTCTTAATTACTATTCCTTATAAGTGTCAGCTCTTGATGTAGGGCTATTAGTAGTCTGAAAGGTCTTCAGCTGGTTATTTATCAAAATCTAAGTAATGACAGAGTATACATTAGATTGGAGGAAGTAAATGTGTTCAGATGGGAGTGAACCTGTTGGTATACGAGTTTAAGGAAAACAAAGTAAAAAACCATAGAACAGACATAGAGAAAAAAGGTAGGTGGTGCACTGAAACACTGTGGAGACAACTTATGGAGGCATAAAGTTGGATGTGAAATGGGTTTTAAATATGACAGTGGGGAGGAGGAGGAGGCTGGAGGCAGTAGATGTATTTGAGGGTAATGTGTAATGTGAATATTAGGTAGACAATTTGAAGTGCAGTGTGTGTGTGTTGGATTACCAAAAATATAAGTGAGAAGGCTGAAGAGGTGTTGTTGAGGTAGTTTGGCCATTCAGAGAGGATGAAAATAGAGCAGGATGACCAAGAGAGTGTGTGTAAAGCTGGGGGTGTCAGGACAGAGAGGTAGGAGTCATTCCATGGAAAGTTGTTGGGAAGGGGGGTAAAGGTTTTGATTTACTAGGGGCTTTGCCATTAAAAAAGGCTTGTGTGAGTGTGTGTGGATCAGAGTAGAGACTAAGTGGTGTTTAGAGTTTATCAGGATATTGGATTATAAGCAAGGTAACATATAATAAAATCAGGGAAATTGCTGGACTTAGAATCTTGGAAGTGGGAAGTACAGTGGCTGCATTCTAAAGGAGGGGTAAGGATGTTGCAGTTTGGAGCATCATCTAAACTGTGATGTCTGTACATTTCAGGCAAAACAGCAAATGAATGAATGATAGTCATCTCCCATGCTATAACAGTGGGAGGTGACCTTCGGTGTGTAAAAATATTTCCTTCTGCCTATGCTTCAGACTGATCAAAACTAAGAGACTTATCATCTATCAAGGCTGAGAGACTAGTAATTAAATCACCTGCTTCTCAGGCAAAAATGGTACATAAGAACATAAGAATGGAGGAACACTGCAGAAGGCCTACTGGCCCATGCAAGGCAGGTCCCTTATCAAAACTACCTCTACCTAGAGCTACCCAAGAAATAACTCCCGTACCCAATGACACCAATCAAACCCAGCCCCTCCCACTCATTATATTTGTCCAATCTCTTCTTAAAGCTACCCAAGGTCCTAGCCTCTATCACCCAACTGGGAAGATTGTTCCACGCATCTACAACTCTGTTAGAAAACCAGTACTTACCTATGTCCTTTTTAACCCTTTCAGGGTCCACAGGCCCTCTCCAAGACTTTTTCTCCGGGTCCCCAAATTTAAAAAAAAAAAAAAAAAAAATTCTTATGAAAGATAGAGAATCTTTTCCCGATCATAATGACACCAAAACTATGAAATTTGATGGAAAACTTACGGAATTATGCTCTCGCGAAGTTAGTGGTCTCGACGATGTTTACGCATCGGCGATTTTGCCCACTTTGAGCCCTATTTTCAGCCAATTCCAGTGTCCTAGAACTCCATTTTTTCTATTGAATTAGTACAAGAAACCACCCATTTACCAATTTCAACTATCCAATATAGTGGTCAGAATTTAGCCATTTTGCCAATTTCCAAATAGGGTCCAGAATAAACAAGACATTGCTGCACTAAAATAACATTTCCTCCTGTTCATTAGTCACGTCCCCCACGCCCCTTTTACATTCTTTTGCTTTCCATTTTGAATTTTTATTCTCACAAAAAAATAGAAAATTTACTGTTATGCAGACTACTGCATTAGTGTAGAAATGGTATAAATAATATCGGTGCACTTGTGAAAGAACATTAGACTCACCAGTTGACGTGTATTGGACTCTTAGCATGATTTGTTTACTTTTGAACTTTGGTAAAAATCGAACATTTCTGCTAATTTGAGCTCAATTTCAAGGTACTTTCATTGTAAACCAGTCAAAAATCATCTCAATTTCTGTAATATGTCTTCCATTCTATCAATGAGACCAGGAAAACTAGAATACAACAATAAATGCCAATACCATACGAAAATACAGTGCAAAGTCGCTGTTTTAATCCAAAAACACTGTCAGTTTTTTTTTCTCATTATGCACTGTGTGCTGCAGGATTTTTTTTTTTATACTGCGCACACTGACCACAGACCCATTCTTTCATATGTAGGCCTACCAGCTTTCTCTCACTAGATTGAAGGCGCTAGAATTTATGAGTACTAATACGTCAAGGACCCTGGTACGTAAGCCGGGCTAGTACGGCCGAAACCCTGAAGGGTTAAATGTCTAATTTTACGTCAAAGTAGACATTTTCATTAATCCATTCTATGATATGTTCTTTAAAATTATATAAGAAACACATTACAAAGCATATAAACATGCTGTTTACATGCTATGGAGATGTGGTTGCCGGTGGAGGAAAATATTACATAATACAGTGGTCCCTCGTTTATCATCGTTAATCCATTCCTGGAAGTGCGATGATTATCGAAATAGACGATTTTCGAATCAATTTTCCCCATGAGAAATAATGTAAATACAATTAATCCGTTCCTGACACACAGAAGTATTAAAACAAAAAATTTTTTTATGTGAAATATAGATGTAGCACATAAACAATACAATGGACATGATGAATGAAACATTAACAGCATAACACTTGCCTTTATTGGCGATTCTTATTAGTGTAGGAAGACTGGAGGAGGAGAGAGATTGGATTAGTTACTGTGTGGAAGGGGAATCCCCTTCCATCAACACCTCAGGTACCAAGTCCTTTTTTGGGGTTGCTTCTCTTCTCTGTTTCTTAATGCCACTAGGACCAGCTTGAGAGTCACTGGAGCCCTGTCTCGCAAAAAAGTGTCCAGAGAGCTCTGTTTCTGGCGTCTCTTTAAAACTTCAATAAAATGGGCCAAGACTGTCACTGTACAAGTTGCCGATATGGCTTGCAACATCCTTCTCAGGGTGATTTTCTCCAAAATCTTTCCATCCTACCCACATTTCAAAAATCTCCTTAATTCTGAAGAAGGCACCTTCTTCCATCTCTCTTCCTTCACTCTCTTCCTCTTCCTCTGCAGAAAAGTTTCCGAGCTCGATCTGTTGCTGTTTCCTGCTGAAGCTCTTGAAATCTCCTCTGGGGTTTAGCTTTTTCATTGGGGTTTCCTCCACCAACTCTCCACATCCCCCAAAACTCCATCCAGCCCATGGAACTCCCCAATGAAACATAGAGTTCACAACTGACATAGGCTCACGGTCAGCCACAAACCTTCAAAATCCCTCTTGTGGCCCACAATCTGGCACAAGTTTTCCAAGCAGGTTCAAATCCTGGTAGTCACTCCCTCCCAAGCTTTACCTTAAGGCTTATGCAATGAGGATTGAAGGTCTTTCCAAAATCTCTAAGGGGAGTGTCGAGGTCAATTAAAGCACCTTCAACATTGCTTGTGTAGAGTTTTTTAAAGTTTAAAATGACCTGGGGTCCATGGGCTGGAGGAGAGGATGATCCGGAAGGGAAAAAATTTTAAACTGTGATGAACCAAACTCCTGCAGAATTAGGTCATCCAATTTTGGGGATGAGCAGTGCATTGTCCATTACTAGGAGGAAACTTGAGACCCAAATTCTTGCCAGGAGAAATTCTTCCCACATTTAGGCCAAACAATTCATGAATTTCACTCGAAACAAAATTCCCTCGTGACCATGCCTTATTTTAGAGCCCCAAAACACAACCATTTTCTCTTCATAACATGTTTTTTTTAACACTCTGGGATTTCAGAATGGTACAATAGTAACGCTTCACTTAAAAATCCCACTAGCATTAGCACAAAAACATGAGTGTCAGCCTGTCTTTCATATGCTAAGTCCGGGCGTCCTTTTCCTCTTGGAGTAAGTGGTCTTTTTGGCATTTTTTTCCCAAAGAGGCCTGTTTCATCACAAATGAACATTGTTCAAGTTTCTCCTTCAGCCTCTAGTATCCTTGATTCACTTACGAATTTTTTAGCTGCAATTTTGTCCAAAACTAGCAGCCTCACCATGCCTTTATCACACGTGTATGCCACTCGGTTCTTAAACCTCTCAAACCAAACCTTTGCCGCCTTAAATTTCCCCAAATATCAGTACTCATTGCAGGCAATTTCTTTACCAGATCATAATGAAACTCCCTAGCCTTTTACAAATAATCAACATAAATAAGCTATCTCCGAATTTGGGTTTCTTGTTTATCCACACCAATAATACTTCCCCAACATTTTCCCGAGTACTGGTGATCTCATTTTGTCAGCCATATTACCCCCCTTTGCAACAACATTTCCTTGTTTCCTTTTTCTGGCCCGATGGAAGATATGGTTGTACGGATGTTATACATCCTGGCCAGTTCGCCACACTTACACCACTTTCAATTTTTCCCAATAATTTTTTCTTAAATTAAAAATCGATTTCCCCCCCTTTCCAAAGCTTGGAAATAGGAGCTTTCTTTGGAGCTATGGTAGCTTATTTAGCATTTTGCAAGCACTAAATGAATGGAATAATATTATAAATATTCGAAATGACAAGTGAGGGAAAACCGCCTCATGGCAAACAATGGACAGGGCTGGGAAGGGGGGCCGGGGGCTCAGAGCCGTGAGTACGCATCCAGGCCCCCAACGACTAAGCGAGTCGCCCTAACATTTGCGAGCCAATGTTTGGATGAAAAATAATGTGACGTTTTCCCCGAAAGGCAACTATCGAGCCCGACGATTATCGAGGGCCCGCTGTACTAATAAAATCACTCTTGGCACATTAAAGTCGTTTTTATGTTATATAAAAAACATTTCATTAATCCATCTATTATATTTCTTCAATATTATTAAGAAACGTTACATAACATATAAATATTTTATGTTTTATCTAAGGAGGTTGTAGCTGGGAAGGGAAAACATTACGTCACTCCCTCTTAAAACATAACACTTTATTACATTCTCAGCATAAAATTATTCATTCTCTCCATTTGTTTATGATGGCAATCAAAAGTAGTTGACAAAAACGATTAAACTCAGTGAACATGTATGCGATGTAATAAATGCTCTGGTCACATTAAAATCGTTTGTAGCTATGTAGTAGGTAGGTATGTAGCCCAGCAGACTACATTACCTACTTATTTATAACGAAATTATTGTAATGTGTACCTGTACCTAAGTAAACTTACACACTGTGCTGGCATGCTGGTACACATTAAAATCATAAGAGTGTTTTTAGTCTTGAAGATGCCATATTAATATAAAAATAATAATAATCACTCTAAGGGCATTAAAATATTGTATAAAACGTTAATAAGACATTTGCTTACCCAAACAAAACCCCCCCACAGTAGATAAATTAACATAAATAGAGATTGGAGCCAGGTGACTTGTGGTAGCAGGCAACTTGTAGGAGTTGTGACAAAAACCAACTTTATTCGTTCGGGTTTTGTTTATATTGTGTGGTGGGGTGGGGGAGCGTTGCCTTTGGCTACCCATACTTCCAACTGACTTCATACAATAAAATTCCCTCTCCCTTACTTAAGACTACAATTTTTTAAGGTAATTAATGATTTGTACTATATATGCTTTTCATCGCTCTAGGGAGCTTAATGTCGTAGTAGATAAGGGGCCAGGCGGGATGTATACCTCCCAATGACTTTCCTACAAATAAATATTTTCACTCTCACCCACATTAAGACCATTAAGACACAAATTTTTAAGTAATTTAATATGTGTACGTACATGTAATGCATTTTATTGCTCTAGGAGTTTTTAAGCATCGTAGTATAGTATTGTGGGTGGGTGGCAAGGGCTACCACACCTGATTCTTAAGAGTAAATACTACTCACCTTTTGCCCTACAAAAGACTACAAATATTTTGAGGTAAATAATAAGTGTAACTGTATGTGTATTTTACTTCTTATTGCCTTTAGTTTTAAAGCTAACTTAATACATTTATGTAAAATTGTTATCTGGCATTTATAGATTTATAATGGAAAAAAGGAGTTTGCTTTCTGCAAATCTGCTTTGGCAGTAGCCTGGAACCTAAACTGCTTTTAATGGGCCCTATGTACTAAATTTCCCCAAAGGATTTGGGTTTTTACGAGCTGTTGACCAGACTAAGATCGACAATCTAAATGAATTTTTTAT